ACACACATATATATATATATATATATATATATATATATATATATATATATATATATATATATATATATACTGCTACTAACGCATACTTATATTTTAATATTAGTAAAATTATTTATAATTTGAAGTCTGGATTGTGAAAACCCAAAAAAGAAAAGAAAAAGAAACAACAGCAAGAGCTGCCTATACACCGCAGCGAAGACGAAGCCACCCCAGGGGAGCTGCCTATACACCTCAACTGCTGCTCCTCTGCCCGGACCGAGGAATATATTTTTATTATTATTTATTATTTATTATTATTATTATTATATGGATATTTTTATTACTGTTTCCCGCCTTCAATGCATGCAGGCGCAGCGGATGCAGCAAGTGTACGTACACCTTACAGGGTGCGCATACACCCGAGACATCAGCAGGTGTATAGAGAACAACTGCGTTTTAGTTTGTTTCCTTTGGTTATTTATTCTCACTGCTCTCTCTTTTCTGTTTTCTGCTGCTGCTGCTGCTGCTGCTGCTGCTGCTCTCCCTCTCCCTGCTGCTGCTTCTCTTGTCGCTTGGGCCCCGCACCGCCTGCTGCCAGCTCTGGCTTCTCCTTCTCAATGCTTCTGCTTTTGCTGCTGCCCCTGCTGTTGCCGCTGTTGCTACCTCCTCCCGCTGCTTGTGTTGCGGGGGTTTTACTCTGTTGCTGTGGTTGTTTGCTTGGCTTATCTTGCGCATCTGCTGCTGCTGCTTCTGCTGGTGCTGCTTCTGCTGCTGGTGCATCTGCTGCTGCAGGTGCTGCTGCAGCAGACTCTGCTGCTGGTGCTGCTGCTGCTGCTGGTGCTGCTGCTGGTGCTGCTGATACAGGACCGCCTATCCTCCCCGCTTCATCTAGAGCAATAGCCCTCCTAACAGACTCCTCCTGTTTAAAGGCTACCCATGCGTATCCATCATTACACCCCCCGCGTACATACACCTCAATATCTACTGGGCCGTATGTTGCCTGCAGCCGCTGCTTCAGCTGAGCCTGTACACCGCATGCAAACAGCAGCAGAAAAAGCAGCAAAAGCAGCAGCAGAAACAGCAATAAACCACCAGAAACACCCACAGCAGCAGCAAACAATATAATAACAATCGGCAGCATCTCCCTCTGCTGCTCCGTGAAGATATTACATCGTTCTCTTCTCTTCTATTGAGGGGAACATAAAACCTTATAAACCTTATAACAATTCAAAAAAACCCTAAACCCTAAACCCTAAACCCTAGAAGTAAAACCCATTACTTTATACTAAATATAGCTTGTTGCTGGCTGCTGTGCTGCACTGACCTCAGAGAAGCGCGTGGGTATGTGTCGTATGTACACCCGGCTTGCAGGCTGCACATATCGGGGCTCTTCACCGTACAGCAGCCGCCACGTTGGCTCTGAACTTGCAGGAGCTGCCATCTTGTCACCAGGAGAAACACCGAGCTGTCTGTACACCTGAAACCTGTCTGTTTGTACGCTGCCTGTACACCTGAAACCTGACGTATGTATGGATGTACACCTGCAGCCTACTTGTATACCTGAAACACCTGCCTATACACCTGAAAACTACCTGTATACCTGATACCTGATTGTATACTTTAAACCTGAATGTATAACTGAAACCTGCCTATACACCTGAAACCTGCCTGTACACCTGAATCGACCTGCAGGCACCAGCAAACAGAACGCAGCAATGAGGCGAGTGAACGAAGAAACAGAAATAAATTTATAATGTTGAAAATTAATG